ATATTTCGAGCCCCGGGAGGCCCCCAGGAGGTCCCCAGGAGCCTTCCAGAAGATCCCCCAGAAGCCTCCAAGAGGCTCTCAAAATCCCCCCAAGCAGTTCCAAAAGGCCCTCAAGATGCTCCAAGAGAACCCCAAGAGGCCCCCAAAAGGCCCCCAGAAGGCCCCATGAGGGCCCCAAACGGCCCAAACGCCAGCAATGGAACATGAGCGGCGGGAATCGGATCGAGATCATATTGTTTGCGATCACTGGTCGACCTCGGACCCGCGCCATTTTTCCATCATTGCTCTGATTCCGTGCCATCCTCAGCCCAGCGTCGTCATCTCTCTCCTGCTCCACGTCCCCTTGCAATCCCCGCTGGTGCTCAGCCCCCCCCCTCCCTTCAACCTCGGCCTCCACATCCATGCACTTCCACATCATCGCAACCCCCCTCCTGCTGCTCCCCCTCATTGTTTTTTCTTTCACCTCCTCCACCTCCTCGGCGTCGTCTTCCGCCCCCTTCTCCTTCGTCTCCTCCTCCTCATTCCTCTACCTCGTCGTGGTCAGGGTCGTCTTCTTCAGGGTCGGCGGCACCGGCCGCAAGGCCTTCGCAATCCGATCACAGAAGATCCAACGCCCGAATCCAACCACCGAACCCGACAGCCTGAATCGAACACCCGAACGCCCGAACATCCCAACGCGACTACCCTATGCCCAACGCCCGCACCCTCACGCGCCAACCCTGACACCCTTACTCTGACGCCCTCACCCTAAGACCCCAACCCGACCGCCGAAGACCCGAGCCCTACAACACGAGCCCTAACGCTTGAACACCCCCACCCTCGCATCCGAAGCCTAACGCCCGGACCCGAACACCCTTGCCCGAACCATGACGCCCTGACCCTGACGTCTGACCCGAACGCCCTCGCTGAAACATCCTTGCACTCTGACACCCGGCCTCTAATTCTGAACCCGTCTCGGCGAGCGAAACCTGCATATCCTCGACGTCTCGCGCTCTTCTTAGGCGTTTTCTGAGGGCGCTTGTAGGGTTAAGGTGGACTTTCTGAAGCTACGGGCCTTGTCGGCCCGCCATGGTTTTTGATGGCGCCCAGTGGCATGGGGTTTTGATATGTTCCATGGGCAGGGGCCATGAGCAGCCCGAATGTGCAACAAAAAGGTCTTGTTAAGGTTAGCACATAAAACATAAACATTTCAATCCGAGAAAATCTAAAATACTGAATGGAATGGATTCGCTTAGTATGTTTGCGCTCTACCTTAACACGCGATCAAAAACTCTAAACCAGGAACAAATAAAACCAACTGTTGGAGGCGAGCCCGCGCAAGCCCCAACAGCCGGTCACGGGTGAAACGCCGACGTCGGATGTCGTGACAGGTCTTACACACGACATTTCAGAAGAGTGCAATGGACAAGAGGGCCTCCACTGGTACACGGAACAGGCGCCAGTAGCACATCTTGAAATGCCATCCCCGATGGCAGAATTATTGGGGAGGTGAGGAATAGCGATCGTAATCTTGTTAATTAGAAGGCCCTCATTGATATGCCGAATGTGGTCACTCCTAGGCGTTCGACAAGAAGTGCGGGAATTGGCTGGTCAAAAATCGCCCAATAGGGCACCAGGAGTTCGTGAAAGCCCGCAGGAAAAAGGAAAGAGAGCAGAGATGGAGGTGAGGAACACTGTGGCAGAAAATGGTGCTGACGAGAATGCCTTCCTCGTCGGTTAGCGGCACGGCTCCACTGAAGAGCTGCGCCCGTCTCCTTAAGATATCTCCGCACGGGCCGTGTGCAAGCGAGGCGAGATACTGTTCGACTTGGTGCTGCAAATGCCTGTTCCCGGAGGGAAGCGCGGGGAGGGCGGTCAGACTCGTGTAATTGTCAACCATGTCCCGGAAAAGAGATTCCCTCCACAGGGGATTGCTCCTCCAAGCCACCAAGCATGTCCAAGCATCGTCAAACAGGGTCATGTTATCTTGGAAGGCTTTGGAACGACTAGCGTGCTTCGCTAGACCCTCACAAACTGCCGATGTTGAAGAGTTACGACGTTTGCTCTCAACATTGAAGATTTCGCCCGAGACCTCTCCAGACAAACGAAATATTGGAGATCGGACGTCGGATATCCAACATACTGCAGGGGAGCGTTTCGCCTGAGACATCCTCACAACATGGGGATGTTGAAGGAGTTGTTGTTCGACGCTGGTTCGCTGGTTCTCAGACATGAGGCGTTCGCCTGAGACGTCGTCCGAAAAATTCAATGTTGGAGATTGGGCCTCGAATCTCCAACACGCTGTGGAGGAGCGGTTCGCCTGTGACGTCGTCACAACATGGGGATGTTGGAGGAGTTGACTTACGATGTTGGTTCAAACATATGAACAGTTGAAAGAGACATCCTGAAAATACTGAAAGGCTGGAAGACGGACGTCGGATATCCAAAATGATGTGTGTGTGTGTGTGTGTGTGTGTTTGTGTGATTGTGTGTATAGGGGGGGGAGGGCGTTTCGCCTGGAACATCCTCACAACATGGGGATGCTGGGGCAACTGTTGTTCGACGTTGGTTGTTTTCAAAAACCGCTTTCGCCTGAGGCATCCTCAAAAACTTGAATGTTGGACATCGGGCGTGGAATATCCAAAATGGTATGGGGAGGGGGGGTCGTTTTGCCTGACATCCTCACAAAATGGGGATGGTGGAGGAGATGTGCTGTCGATGCTGGTTCCTAAAACTGAAACTCTCGCCTGGGATATCCTCGGAAAATTGAAATGTTGGAGATCTGGCGTCGGAAATCCAACATGGTGTGGGGGCCGTTTCGCCTGAGACATCCCCACAACATGGAAATGCTGAAGGAGTGATTTACGAGGCTGGTTCATGAAGCTTTCGCCTGACACATCCTCAGGATAATCATATGTTGAAGATCGGGCATCCGATATCTGACATGGTGTGGTGGGGGCCTTTCGCCTGAGACATCCTCGCGTCATGGGAGTGTTGGAGGTGTTGCGCTACTACGCTGGCTGTCAAACATGAAGCTTCTGCATGCGACACCCGCAAGCAATTGAAATGGCGAGCTCGGGCGTTGGATGTCGAACTCGTTATGGCGAGGCGCTTCGCTGCAGGCATCCAATGAAAGCCAGGCAAGACCGTGGCTCCAGAGGAGGGCGCCAAGAAAAAAGATAAGACATACCACGGCGACGACACAGGATGAAGCCAAAAAACACACGACTAAACGAACCGAAAAAAACACGACTCCCCCTCACTCCCCTGATCCTTGGCCGATGGTTCCATAGGTCGACCACTGGTCGATCTATCGTTTCACCCTCCCCCTTCCCGTCTCCATTGCCCACCCACCCCTTCCGCCTCCCGCTTGCCCTCGCCCTTGTCCTCACGGCTGCTGCTGCTGCTGCTTCTCCTCCTCCGCATTTCTCGCCGTCCTCATCATTCATCATGCTCCTCCTCGTCTTTCCTCCTCTCCCTCTCTCTTCCCCAGTCGCGATTATCGCAAGGAGCCTTCACCGCGGTCAGGAGGGCAGAAGAGCAAAGTGCCAACAATGCGTAGAGAGGGACTCCGCGGCAACGTCCGTCGGCTCATCGAGCCCGCATCGCAGGGGTGGATGAGTCTAGTCCTCTCACCGCCGAAGGCTGACGTGCGCTGATCATAATTAACGACCGTGCCCTCCGATCGACAGTGCACTGAACCGCCGAAAAATAAATGCTGCGACGCTGGCGGAACCGTGAGGAGCACGCACTTCTCGAAGAGAGCTGCTGTGCTGCTCTTTAAAAACGGTGTTGGGACAGCCCGCGCGACCACTGCAGCCCCAGATCCCCGGCGTGGCGATTTTTTCACCACGTCGACCCCCAGAGGTCTGGACCCCTTCCCCAGGACCCGCTTTTCCTCCCGGCTCGTTCCTTGACGGTCCCGAGGCCCGGTGAGGGCCGAGGACGGCGGAAAGCCTCCGGTCGTGACTTTTTGTTCGCAGCGCGGGGGGGTCCGGGGTCGAAGGTGCCCGCCCGCCGCGAGCCCGCGCGCGCCACGCAGGCCACCTCAGCTTGACCGCCACTGTGGCCGGACCTGGGGCAGAAGACCATCCTTCAGGCACACCGAGCCCCTCCGCGGGCCAAACTGGAAAACGTGTTCACATGGCACCCCTCCTCCAGGATGCACGCGGACATCGAACCAGCACGAAGAGCATTCGGATGCCCTCCCCGCACCGACCTCGATCTGTAGAGGCCTCCTAGATGGGGTCGGAGTAGATGGGGTCGGAGGATCGCGCCGCATCGCCGATGCATCGGCAGTACACATCGCCGATGCATCGGCGACATCGGCGATGCGTCGGCGACGTCGGTGTTGAGAAAGTCGGGCTCCGCATCGAGCCGCATCGGCGACGCATCGGTGATGCATCGGCGCTGCGGCGCGATCCTCCGACCCCGTCTGCTCCGACCCCACCCATAGAAGGCCTGGAATGCGATGCCTCGGTCCGAGCATGCCGCCTTCGCCCTTACAGCGAGAACTTCGAGCCCCCGCCCGCCGCGGCGCCGTCGCCCGGGCAGCGTCGCGGCGGCAGGGCCAGAGCCTCCCCGTGCCCGCTGGAGGAGCCCGGGCCGCGCTCCTGCGGGCCGGTGGCGGAGGGCGAGGCCGAGCCGCCGGCGCCCAGCCGAGCGAGGGCCTTGGCGTCCTTCTTCTGCTGGCGGCGGCGCTGGCTCTTCGTGCGGGACACGAAGATCGGGGGTTCAAAGACGGGGTCCTGAGGAATGGGGTCCTGAGGACGCGGTGCTCCAAACCACGTCAATCCACACATGGACCCCTTCCTATCTTTAGGCCCCCATCCCTCAGGACCACATCGTTGAACCACCGAGAAGGCGGAGCCCTCTTCGTCGTCCTCCTCCTCCTCCTCCTTCCCGCCGGGCAGCGTCGCATCGGCAAGGCCGGTGGCGGCATCAGCCAAAAGAAGATGCATGCGGGCGGTTGCCCAGCGTCGTTCGGCCCTGCGTCGCTCCTTCAGGCTAAGCGGGCGGACCGCGGAGTCCTTATGGGAGTCATGCGTGGAGACGTAGGCGGAGGCATGCACGGACGACTCGCCGGTCGCGTCCGTGTTCGTGCCGCTGGTCGACGTCATGGGGTCGGAGCTGGGTCGCGGACGCAGCTCCACAGCCTCCATCCATGGGGACTTGCAGTCCAAAAACGTGTTCTTGACGTGCATATGCGTCATGACGCTCATGGCGACCGCGGCGGCGCCGGAACTACGGTCCTAGAGCCCAAATGTTGCACTGTTCTGCGGCTGCAGGGCGTGTGTTCTCACAGTCGCGCTCCATGTAGTTGTGGAAACGTTGGGCATTGGGGCAGTTGTCTGGCATGAAGCGTCGGGAACTCGAAAAGTCAAGACCCCACAAAACGCTGAAACACCAACAGAAAACAAAACATAACAGTGGTTTTGCCTCTTGGGCCTCTCTGGGGAGCGCTGGTCGAATCCTCTTGGGCCGTCTGGGGGCATCTTGGGACAGGGCAGGCTCGAATTGTCGATTCGGGCTCCTACTCTTGGACCCCTCTGGCTCCGTTCTGGGGCCCTCTTGGGCCGTCTTGGGTGCCTCTAAGGCCGTTTTGAAGCCTCTTGGGCGGCCTTGGCTCTCAGGGGCCTCTTGAGCCGTCTTGGGGCGGTCTTGGGGGGCTCTTGGGACGTCGTGAAGCGTCGGAAACTCGAAAAGTCGCGAACCAAAACACATTGAAAGCCCCAAGGCACATCATTGTTATTTGCCTCTTGGGGCCCTCTGGGGAGCGCTCGTGGAGTCCTCTTGGGCCGTCTGGGAGCGTCTTGAGAAGGAAGCCTCAGATTGTCGCTTCAGGCGGGGCCCTCTTGGGAGCCCTGGGGCCGTCTTGGGGCGGTCTTGCGAGCTCCTTGGGACGTCGTGGAGCGTTGCAAGCTCGAAAAGGCGAGAACTCCCAAAACACTGAAAAACCTAATGAACATCATTCTTTTGGAGACGGCGACACTCAAGGGCCAGCTAGAACCCGAGAGCGTTTGAAAAGGGGCTCAAGCTGGCCCAGCAGGGCTCGAAGAAAGGCCAAAGATGGCCCCAGGAAAGCTCCAAAAAAGCCATTCGAGGGAGAGGGCTCGCGCCGTTCGTGCCCACGCCGTGACAGCTCGAGCTCTCATGTCAACAGTGCCCCCGGGAGCCCAAGAGGGGCCCAAAAGCGCATCAAAAGAACCCCCGGGGACCGTTCCGCTCACATCGAGGCTGATCGGATCGGCACCGGGCCTGCCTCTTGGGTCCACGTGGTGCCTTCTTAGAGTCCTCCCAAGATTTCTTAAGGCTTCCACAATATCCCCGAACAGGCCACGAGAGCACCGAAAGAAACTAGACAGATTACTCTTTTTCCAGATTGCGCACGACAAAGACAAGCGATAGAGTGAAATACTTAGTAAACTGAACTAGTGGATGGGCTTCTCTGTTTGCGGGTCCACCAGACCCCTCGTTAGTTTCACTTGTGGTTTTGCACGGGGGCCTCGCAACGGGCGCTCAAGGGGACCACTTGGCCCTCTGCGCGCATGGATATTATTACCCCTCCTCCTGGTCAGCAGCACCAGCATCACCACCAGAAGCACCAACAGCAGCAGCAGCAACATCACCACCAACAACCACAGCAGGAGCAACAACTGCTGAGCAATAGTTGCACCGGAATCAGCACCAGCAACAGCTGCAGCACCAGCAGCAGCAGCAGCAGCAAACGCCCCAGCAGCAGCAACAGCAACAGCAACAGCAGCAGCAGCAGCAGCAAACACGTTCCGAGCAAACACCACGACTGGCCCTCTTGGGGCTCTCTGAGGCCGTCTTGGGCGCCACTGGGAGCGTCTTGGGGGCATCTGGGCCCGTCTTGAGGCCCTGTTCGTCTTGAAGCCTTCTTCGGCCGTTTTGGACGCTGTGCGATCCTGAGGAAGCAAACATGCTACGAATATAACATTCCCCCAAGGAGTGGAAATATTCTGGCTTCCTGCAGCCCTCTTGGGAGGCCTCTTGGGGCGTCTTGGAGGGCCTCTTGGCCCTTGCTGGCACCATCTTGGGCGTCTTGGAACGCTCTCGGGGAAATATCCATCTAGACGGTCTTGAGCTGGTCCTGGCGGCCTCTGGAGCCGTCCAGGAGCGCTCGGGCCCCCGCCAAGGAACACTCGGGGCCCCCACAGGCCGCCCAGGGCCCCATACCAACCCGGGGTCCCAGTCCGGGCCCCCCCATCGCGCGCACTTCGGTTCTAGCTGATCGAGCGATGACCGCATTGAGACAACAAGGTGGTCATGAATAGTGAAGACAACTCTGCCTCATTCCTCCTCCTTCGCTCTCATCGACCGGTCGACCAGTGATCTGTCTCCAAGCTATATATAGGCCAGGAATAATGCAGCGCTACAGCGCCATGCTGCATTATGCTATGGAATGCCATGATACACCATGCTACGCTGTAAAGCACAATGTCACGATCCAGCATGAAATGCAATAACATGATCTACTCTACAGTGCGCATTGCATGCCATGCCATGCTGTGCTGTGAAATGCTATGATAATATATGGGATGATACGCTGAGCCATATCATGCTACGTCTCCTATGAAGATCGATGCTACCGCGCTACACGGTATGCACAGACGCGGCATGCCGGGCTATGCAATGCAATGCAATGCTATGCCATGTTTTGAGCTTCTACGCTGCAACAATCATGGCGGCAATAAGAACAACAACGGGGGTGTGAGATGTGCATGAATCATGCTTACTGTTGCGCAGTGCAGTACGGTGCTGTTCGATTAATTCATGCGCATTGGAGTGCCATAGTATGCCACGATGCGTCACGATATGCAATGCCAAGCTAAGCAATATTACGTCATGACGTGCAATGCTAGGCTCAGCTAGAAACTGCTACGGAATGCAATGCTATGGCATACTGAAACATACTGTGATATGTACTGACACGCTTAACTCTGTCGTGCTGTGCCGTGCCATGTCATGTCATGCAACGCTGCGATACCACGATAGGCTAGGCGGTCCTTTGCTATGCACCGGTATGTTTTGGAGGCCTCTTGGGGGCCGTTTGGGGTACTCTTGGGGCTTCTTTTTGGGCCTCTTTGGGGCCTCTTGGGCCTCTAGGGGGCCTCTTGGGGGTCTCTAGGAGGCCTCTAGGAGGCCTCTTGGGCTCTCTTGGGGGTCTCTTGGGGTCTCCTGGGGGCCTCTTGGGGCGGAAGGCTCGAATTGTCGGTTCGCGTTCCCCCTCTTGGGTCCCTCGGGCCGTCTTGGAGCCCTCTTGGGCGATCTTGGGCGCCTCTTGGGCCGTCTTGGGGCACTCTTGAGCCGTCTTGGGACTCTCTTGCGTCCTCGTGGCGCCCTCTTTGGGTGCCTCTTGGGCCGTCTTGATCTGATTTACGGGGCCTCGTGGGCTGTCTTGGGCCGTCGGAAATACGAAACAGCCAGAACACGACAACTCTTCAAACACGATAGAAAAAGTATACTTTTTGTCGCCTCCTGAGTGCTTCGTGGGAATCCTTTCAAGGGCATATTGGCCGCCTTGAAGCTCTCTTGGGCCGTCTTCAAGCCATGTTGGACCAACTTTGGAACGCTCTTGAGCGGTCTTGGGCTCTCTTGGAGCGCTCTTGGGCCATCTTGGCGCCCTCTTGGACGTCTCTCGGGCCCTCTCGCCGCCCCCCTTCCCCTCCTTTGACGCGTTCTGGCACCCCCGCCGGGTCCAAAACGGCCGGAAGACAAATCAGTGCACTCTGGGGCCCCTAGGACCCCCTACCCATTTTACAGCATCATCGGCCGTCTTGGGGCCCTCGTGGGCAGACTCGGGGCCCTCTGTGCCTGTCTTGGGAGCCTCTTGGGGGCTTGCTGGGCCATCTTGGGCCGTCTTGGGGACCTTTTGGCCCCTCCTGGGCTGTCTTTGGGCTCTCTTGGGCGCCTCTTGGGCCGTCTCGGGGTGATCCTGGAGAGCTCTTGGGCCGTCTTGGGGATCCAGACAGTCGACAGCGCGAGAATCTCAGAATCCGTAGAAAACCCATTGGAGATGTACGATTTCGGCCTCTTGGCGCCCTCTAGGGTGTCCCCTCGGAGCTGTCTCGGGGCGTCTTGGCGTGATATGGGGCCGTCTTGGGAGCATCTTGGGCCGTCGGAGGGCCGTCTTGGGTCATCTCGGCGCTGTCGTTGGTCGTCTCGGGGCCTCCTTGGGCCGTTTCGGGGCTCTTCTGGGGACCCTCCGGTGTTGTTTCGGGGCCCTCCGGGGACCCTCCGGTGCAGTGTCGGGCTCTCTCGGGGCCTCGGTGGGCCGGGGGCCCCCGCCAACCCTCAAATCACCTTTCGGATTTACTTGAATGGATATGTATATATATATATATATGTAAATATGTGTGTATATATGTATAGAAGTCTATATGTATATGAATAAATAAATGATCCAGGGCTCGCCGCCCCCTCCAATGCAAATCGGATCGGGCCCCACCCCATCCCCTGCTAGATGGGTACGTCCGTGAGCCTCGCGAAATACTCACGAATGGGATCCCCCCCTTGTGGTCGTTGCCCTGTGGTCGTGTCGTGGTGGAGTGTGGACGTCGTTCGCTGTCGTCGTCGTCGTCGTCGTAGTCGTCGTCGTCGTCGCCGGCGTCGTCGTCGTTGTCGTCGTCGTAGTCGTAGTCGTAGTTGGCGTCGGCGTCGGTGTAGGCGACGGCGTCGGCGTCGGCATCAGCGTCGGCGTCGACGTCGGCGGCGGCGGCGGCGTCGTCGTCGTCGCGGTCGTCGTCGTCGTCGTCGTCGTCGTCGTCGTCGTCGCCGTCGTCGCCGTCGTCGTCTTCGCCGTCGTCGTCGTCGTCGTCGTCGTCGTCGTCGTCGTCGTCGTCGTCGTCGTTCCCCCCCCTCCCATCTGGGGGGCTTGGGTGGACTCTGGAACCCTAGGACCCATCTCATGTGATGGGGGAGGGGCTGTGAATCCTCGACCAGGATCAAACATCCTCCCTCTTCCTGTCTTCTTCCTCCGTCGCCTTTCTACCCTCCTTCTGACAACCGTATCTCTCCCCCCCTCTCCCCCCATCGTCGTCGTCGTCATCCCCGTCGTCGTCGCCGCCGCCGCCGCCGCCGTCGTCGTCGTCGTCGTCGTCGCCGTCGTCGCCGTCGTGGTCGCCGTCACCCCCCATACTACATGGGGGTGGGGTTGGGGGGCTGTGGAACCCTAGGACCTATCCCATGTGGCAGCAGT